TTCAATCCATCCTTTCATCCAACCTTCAATCCATCCTTTCATCCATCCTTCCATCCATCCTTTCATCCATCCTATCATCCATCCTTTCATCCATCCTTCCATCCATCCCTTCATCCATCCCTTCATCCACCCTTCAATCCATCCTTTCATCCACCTTTTAATCCATCCTTCCGTTCATCCTTCCATTCATCCTTCCATTCATCCTTCCATTCATCCTTTCATTCACCCTTCAATCCATCCTTTCATCCACCCTTCAATCCATCCTTCCATCCATCTTTCCATCCATCATTCTATCCATCCTTCCATTCATCCTTCCATCCATCCATTTATTCATCCTTTCATCCATTATTTCATCCATCCTTCCATCCACCCTCTTCGGGAATTTCCTTCTGCATGTCAACAATCCCGTTGGTCCACTTCGGCTCCTAGTCTCCGTTCACTTCCATTCGGACTCGTCTCGATCTCTCGCCTTACGACTTCCTTTCGAGGCTCTCACCAACATATACACACACACTTACACAATTGACGCTGACACACGCAGCCACAAAGGGAGGCGATAACACGCCGACGAGCATCGAAAAAATGGACACACAAAGTAGCTGGACGACTAAGCTATCTTTCTGCCCGTCGCCAACGCCAACGCCAACGCCGACTCGCCTTTCTAAGAGACCACCCACTCAGCTCCCGCCAACCGGTATTTAGGAATTTCGGTGTCTGCAAACCAAAATCCCTGAAATTGAGTCCCGCCTTTGCGATGCTGAGAGGTACTATGTATCACGAATTTTCCCATCGTCTCTCTCTCTCTCTTTCTTTGTTTCTTTCTTTCCTTCTTTTTAGTCTACCCTCTCCACCACGTCTGTGTCATATTGTCGTCAGACTGTGATTTTGATGGGGTTTTGTGAAATAAAACATACTCATTTTTACATAACAAGCATTATTCGAAGACTACCAGCAGGTGTGTATTCACTTTTTTTTCTTTTACTGTGACGAACGACTGTTGCTTTCATCTTCCGAGGGCAAGGGCGAAACGGCAGACGAGTCTATCTGAGATGAGGTCACCTTTGCTACGACAATGTGGAGCCAATGCCTTGGAAACATTGCGTCAACTCGCATGATTGTGGGAAAATTCAGCCACCAACCCATCATCACCTTCAACAAAATAGACTGGATACAGCTCTGATGAATGGGGACACCATTTGCTATTCGACAAACGCGCATCCTCCTCCGCCCCAAAGTTCGCCGACGAGACAAATCCACCTCGGCCATCTCTCTTCCACCCTTCGTGTTCCTCGCACCCAGACCCTCCGAGTTCCGTCGCAGCCAGGCAACTGGAAGTCGTCACGACGACCAAACTGACATGCAATGATCTTCAGTTTGCCCGCAACCAACTTCTACAAAGCGGTCCATTCGGTACAGATCTTTCTAAGATGCCATTCTCTCCATTTGACTGTCTACTTGTTTGTCCTTCAGTCCATCTATCTGTCTGTGTGTATGCATATTTGTATGTATGTGTGCAGGTATGCATGCATGTATGTATGTATGTATGTATGGCTATATATCTACCCATATGTTTGTCCACATGTCGGAGCATTTGTGTGCATTCTATGAATCCTCTTGTCCGGTTATTATCTTTCAATAGTTCTATTCGCCTGTCTGGCTATTTGTTTATTAATGTTGTTCGTCTGTTGCCCGCCTGCATGTGGGCATGCTTTGAGGTCTCCACAACTTTATGCAGTCAAGGGTGCATTCGCTTTTTCATTAATTTCTCCACCGCTCGCCCGGTTTCTGCGTCCTCGCGCCAATCCGTCAACGTTCAATTGCTCAGCCCAGAGTTGTGGATAAATGTGCTTTTGGCAAATATGTGAAAATTAGCCAAAGTGCCATTAAGCCAGGCGAATGCGATAAATCACCTCACAACAACTCGTCCGGTCCACTTCACCTCCTCGCTCCCCCTCCTCCCCC